TATACTACAGCTGTGTACTTGTACTACAGCTGTGAACTTGTACTACTGCTGTGTACTTATACTACAGCTGTGTACTTGTACTACAGCTGTGTACTTGTACTACAGCTGTGTACTTGTACTACAGCAGTGAACTTGTACTACAGCTGTCCTCAGCTACACTCTGAGCTCTTGAACAGATGAGTTAGCAGTCTGTTAGCGGGATAATTAGCCTCCGGTACCGAGCCGCAGCAGCTCGGTCTGATGGAAACTCTCCAGCCGGACCTGGAAGGGCGAAGCTGGGCTAAATCATCCGACACTCCTGTACCACGTCCCAGTTTAGTTTGGCTCGGCTCGGCTCGGCTCGGCTCCCTTGCAGTCAGCTACATGTCAGACAGCTAACAGGCTAACGACACAAACACTGAGCTCTGCAGAGCAGCGGCTAACAGCAGCTAGCAGCGGCTCACAGCAGCACCTACCTTGTCCTGCCGTCTAACGGGCCGCTCCTGCAGCTGTACCCCGGTCCTGGTGGTAATATTCCGGCTGCAAAGGTCAGTGGAGCCGCTGTGGACAAGAAAAAGCTGATTTCAGCCACAACAGTCTGCTGCTGCCTTCCAGCTACGGAGCGCCGCTCGGTACAAAACACCGGCCGTTACTGGCAAAACGCGAAAGCAAAAAGGACGGTTGGAATAATAACGTTCTTTAATATCGCCTTTCTTTACAAAGTTACCAAAGAAACCAAAAGAGTTAAAATTATGAAATATATTTTGGTTCCACAAAGCTAATTCAACATAGTTTAAACCCAGTGACCGTGGTAACGTAAACTAGTCAGGTTAGTGATCAGCAAGTCACCGTGGTAACGTAAACTAGTCAGGTTGGTGATCGGGCTAGTTTAAACCCAGTGACCGTGGTAACGTAAACTAGTCAGGTTGGTGATCGGGCTAGTTTAAACCCAGTGACCGTGGTAACGTAAACTAGTCAGGTTGGTGATCGGGCTAGTTTAAACCCAGTGACCGTGGTAACGTAAACTAGTCAGGTTGGTGATCGGGCTAGTTTAAACCCAGTGACCGTGGTAACGTAAACTAGTCAGGTTAGTGATCAGACAGGCTTTTAAACAGATCAACAAACAGAAGTTTATTTAATGTTAGAGGGACCTCACACAGGTCTGACCACAGACGTGTACACTGATAAAAATGTGGGGCTTTATCTACTTAAAAAAAGTAAAGCAACTTTTTGCATCATTTTATCCCGTAGATCATACAAGTCTTTGTTTGTACAATATTAATTTTATAATTAAAGTCAACTTACTTTTGCAAACAAAGGCAACTCAATTGTGGCACGTTTACTTTACTTGCTAAAGTAAATTGCCTTAACTTGTAAATGTAAGTTGACTTTAGTTGCAAAAGTAAGTTGACTTTACTAGCAATATTAATGTTGACTTTAACAGCAAAAGTGATTTGACTTTACTTGCAAATGTAAGTTAAGCCAACTTGTAAAATGAATGTTGTACATACAAAGACAATTCTTGTTTGATCTATGTGATAAAGTGATGCAAAAAGTTGCCTTACTATTTCTCAGTAGAAAAAATGCGCAAAATTTTTGTTACGGTGAGCTACTTGAATGAAGTATGTAATCTATGTGTTGGTCAATCTGTCCAATTTAAAAATGGACATTTTGGCATCATGTTGCTATTAAAAAAAATCACATAACAAAAATGAAAGGATCTAGGGGCAGGATGATGAAATAAGACTCACAAGTGATGCGACTGGCGCTGCGGGTAACTGTAGCCACCAGCCAAGTCGTCACGGGAGTGTGACTGATGCTGTAATATAAATTGTGTGAGTTGCACTAGAAGGTCCTAGGGTCAACACAATCAAGAGGTCATAAGTCAACCAAATTTACATTTTATTGCAAATTCTCACAAAAATAATATCATACAGTACATGTACTGTCACTGTACTGGGCAATACCTGAATTGACTGTATAGAGTTTCAACTATTAGTTGTTTTAATCATCAATCAATAAAACAAGACATTTAGAATTGCATCTTGGGCTTCAGGAAACTTTTTTTTAAACCATCTTCTCACAACAAAAAACAATTAAATAAAAAAAAAAATTGTACACTAATGAATATTATTTTTAGCTGCAGCTCTCATACTGTATACTCTGCAACAACGCCCACATCATTCAAACAACATCTGGTATTAATTATTCAACTTAACAAAAGGGCTCGTTTACCTTGTTTAACAATAGTTTCCTGGCAAGGAACATACAATATGCCAAAGAAACTTTGA